AAGGAAGGAAGGAAGGAAGGAAGGAAGGAAGGAAGGAAGGAAGGAAGGAAGGAAGGAAGGAAGGAAGGAAGGAAGGAAAGCTATAGACACATAGATATTAAGGTAATAGCAGTTAATGGAATAGACACAATTCAACATCAGTGGCCTGGTCAGCAGGATTATGGCTAATCATATAAAGTGTTATTTGGAAGCAGGAGCAGGATGGTCATCTTCATCATGGTGATCCAGGAACTGGGGCTTCCTTCTCTAGAGACTAAGTTACACCCTGGGGCCACTGAGTCCTTCACTCTGAGTTAACAGATAGGAATAGCCTAAAGGGCCAAGCAGGGAGTTTTGTACTCACCTAGTCCAGAAATATGTAGAGTATGTACTGTATGTTCACATTCTTTGAATATAATGCAGTCAGATGGCCACACCTAACTGCAACCACATGAGAAAAATAGGAAATCTAACTAACAACTGATCAGTTCACCACACTATAGAAATAAATATTGTCTTTGGGGCCATTTCACCAACTACAAAATGGGAGATTTAGATACACGCACAGAGTACGAGCATTCAAAAGCATTGAGAAATATAACATTTTTCTATACTAATTACTATAGATAAATATGACATATTCACATTGAGTCTCTCAGCATTGAGAAATGTAACAATTTCTTCTATACTAATAACTATAGATAAATATAACATATTCACATTGAGTCTCTCAATTGAAGAAAATGACCAAATGATTTTAAAGACTTGTTATTAGAATTTTCCAGAAGATTGGAGATGTTGTGTGGTGGTATTGTGTTCCCCAAAATATTGTGCACCCTAATAAACTTATCTGGGGTCAGAGAATAGAACAGCCACAATATTAAACATAGAGGATAGGTAGTGGTAGCACATGTCTTTAATCCTAGCATTCCAGAGGCAGATATCCATCTGTTCAAGGATACAGCCAAGCATGGTGACTCACGCCTTTAATCCCAGAAAGCGAGCCTTTAATCCCAGGGAGTGATGGCTGAAAGCAGAAAGGTATATAAGTCGTGAGGGCCGGAAACTAGAAGCTTTTAGCTGGTTAAGCTTCAGGCTTTCAAGCAGTAGTTCAGCTGAGAGCCATTGGGATGAGGACACAGAAGCTTCCAGTCTGAGGAAACAGGATCAGCTGAGGAACTGTGGAGGTGAGGAAGCTGTGGCTTGTTCTGCTTCTCTGATCTTCCAGCATTCACCCCAATACCTGGCCTTAGGTTTGATTTAATTAGTAAGACCTTTTACAATAAGTGCTACATCATTGTACACTGACGACCGTGTTTTCTCTTCATTAACTATTCAATCTAGCTCTTGACTCATTGCTTTGCTACATTCACTGAAATTACATCATTGTTGTTGTATAAACAATGCTTTATATTTCCAGGAGTTTCTTTACTTAAGTAAGTTTTTCATTAATTATTGTATATGTACACATGTTTGTGTGTATGTGTGTTCATGTATGTAGGAGATGTGTGTATGTGAGTGTGTGTGCGTGTGTGTACGTGTGTGTGTGTGTGTGTGTGAGTGTGTGTGTGTGTGTGTGTGTGTGTGTGTGTGTGTGTCTGTGTGTCTGTGTGTAGGCTAGAGGTAACACTGGAGGTTGTTTCTCAGGCACCACTTTGTGGTTTTTAAGACATAGTCTCGCACTGGCCTGAGATCGTCAAGTAGGCTAGGGACCTGCCTGTCTATCTGTCCCATGCTAAGATTACAAGTACACACCACAGGCCCAGTATTTTAAATGGGTGCTTGAGATGCAACTCTGGTCTTTATGATTGTGCAACAAGCACCTTACAGACTTGAGCTATCTCTACAGTCCCACTGATTATTTCATATTATCATAGTACTTGGGTTATTTGAAGCCCATCAGATAACCTTCAGAATGCAGCTAGATTTAATTTAGCATTTGACAAACCCTGAACAACTGTCACAAAGCAGCAGACAGTCCTAACGAAATATTATGATCTTTGGTTAGAAAACATTCAAGCCCATGTATTATGCTAGAAATTGTGTCAAAACTCTTATGTGTTAGGCACTTATAGTGAAATAAAGATTCCTTAGATGACAGTTCATAGCTGAGGACATAGGAACAGAGGCATCACCTGGCTAGTGATAGCCAATCAAACAGAGCAGGCTCCTGAAGGGGGTATGGCAGAGTGGGCACCACCAGATGCTTCTCTCTTCTCCTTGGCTTCCTGTAAACTAATGTCAACAGTATTGTTGCTGCGAAATGAACGCTGTCACTGGTTCCAGAATGACACCTCCCCCGAGGCCTCTCGTGAGCCACTCTACCTAATCTGGCTGAGGTGACTTTTACCCTTAATGATTACTTTGTCATTATTCTGGCTTCTAGTATATTCTTCTGCTAATTCTCAGTGAACTGCCACTCTACTATCAGAGGGATTTTCAAAAATAGCCAGTATTGAATATTACAAGGGAACATGGAATTCTTATATATGAATTCATACATCATTGTAACTGAAGAAAAGCAATATTCAAATAACTTTTTAGCAACTATCGTAACACAGATTACATACAATTCATGGATGTCACATTGTATCTCGTTTGTACATTTCATATCATAGATATTCCTTTAGTAACAACAGTAGGTATACACAAAAATGTAATATCATAAGCATTAATTAATGCTGAACAGAATTATCCAAGGACAAGTAGAAGATGAACAGCTTTCTTTTTACTTTCTTGTTTTCTTTTGTTCTTAACAAAACAATTATAATTCTGACTTTTCTTGCTGCTTCTCCAAGATTCCAATTTTAAGCCCAATCAAAAGATGCCAACATATTCCAAACTGAGAGAATGCTTTGGATTCAGTATTCCTCCGGTCTTGCTCTCCTTCAAGGGATTTTAAGTCTTTTCTTTCCCAAGCTGCCAGTTACACCGAATTGTTCTGAAATGTGAATGGTGTGTGTATGTGTGTGTGTGCGTGCGTGAATGCATGCATTTGTGTGTGTGTTTGTGTGTGTGTGTGTGTGTGTGTAAATATGAGCTATTATCAACCGGAGAAACAATAAGAGCTTCACACTTGTCACTCAGTAAGACCTGCCTTTGGAGCCCTGTCAGCCATGGCCTTCTACATGTGTGCTTCTTGGTTAGAGCAGCGCTGTTTGATGGCAGCTTCTGTTTAGGAATTCATGTCGCTGTTTGGCATTTATGTAGTTCAGCTGTTAGAGAGTCAGGGTAAGAAGAAAGGAAATATGCAGGAGCGAAGGTTTCGGGGCAAAGAGGGGAATAAGAAAGGGCTTTGGGTTGTGAAGTAACAGTGCCAGCCATGTGGCAACAATAAAGCCCAGGCAGAACCCTTCAGTTCAGGCAAGGCACAGCCAAACAGATGTAGCCCACGCCCATCCTGATGATCTGGGTGGCCGAGCGCTGGCACAAAGCTCAAGCTGCCCGAAATACTAGTCGTTACTGTCAGCATCGGCCTTTGTCACTCTGCAACGCCGAGCTCATTACCGTGTGTGCCACCGAGTTCAGATCTGCCTAAAACACAAAAAGATTTAGAGAAGCCATGTGGCTGTACAGCAAAAGACTTCAGGATCTGACCGGGTTGACAGACCTGTGCATGATTCATAGTGTAAGTTCAAAAACGTTCAGAAGTTCAGATACTTATCCAACATTGTCTACATAAAACTCTACCCCTTGAGGATCTTGCATTTTAATGGGAAAATAGTAGCAGTGCTTTCTCTCTCTCTCTCTCTCTCTCTCTCTCTCTCTCTCTCTCTCTCTCTCTCTCTCTCTCTCTCTCTGGCATTCTGAAGCACTTTGAGCTTCTCATTACTCTAGAATCACTGGGAAACCTTGAGTTCAGGATTTGAGGTTCAGAAGCAAACATTTTTGGAGCATAAAAACAAAAGTGCTGAAATTAAATTCCCCTCCTTTCTAAGTAACTCTAGGAAAGGTAACATAGGTGATATTTTCTACTAGCACTTGCTTGAGAAAACGGACGTTCCTAAAAATTCTTTGGAATGTGTGGCTTATGTATATAGAAAGTACATAGGTAAACACAAGACAAGAATGGTTCATCATGATTCAGATCTGACTATTTCCACTTTTCTCCCATCCTTAAGGAAGGAACTTGAGTAGAGAATTTTTGTTGTGAAACCATGCTGGAAATCACAGCTTCAAATGATAAGAAACCTAACACATTAGCAAAATACTGATGCTTTATTCTTTCACATTGATGCTTTAATATTTTAATATTATTATAATAGAAAATCTCTTTGAAACTATAAGTTACAGGTGACAAACAAATCAATCAGCATAATCAGACTGTAAGTTATGAGTACAATTAACATTTACAGCATGTCTATCTACTTGGACACGCACATGTATTTTTTCCTCATGTTTATGTAAGTATTCATCGATTAAAAAAACAAAGTCAACCTATAGTTGAAATAGTATATCAATTAAAGCTAGAATTATTCACATAGTATATACAAACCAACAATACCCAGCAGCAAGAAGGGTGTGTAATTGTCTACAATGTCAGTATACTTAACACTTAAAAGATCTTCATGCGTCATGGAAATAAATGTCACATCTATGACTCCACAGAAAGTGGAGACCTGAAAACTGACAGGAGTTTGAAACCAGTCGGGGCTGCATGCTGAGTTCCAGACCAGCCTGAAATATAAAGTGAAGCCTCTATAAATCAAATACAACAAACAATACAATATCAGGAGATTTAATAAAAGAATGTTTTTAAAAACTTTATACACTAACACACAGTCATGCCTTACTTCTGAAAACTGAATGTGCTCACTTCAGCAATCATCATGCTGCTATGGAAACAGTACAGAGAAGATTAGCATGGCCTCTGCACATGTATAATATATAAACGTGGGAGGTTACTCACACTGTCGAGTGGTGTTAGGGGCTGTGGTGTACATCAAAGAAACACGACAACAGACAAAAAAGGACATTTTGAGGTGGTAATGGTAAGGTTTGATGTCCTGATATTACTGTTGGTAATATAAGGATATACTAGTCTGTAATTGCGTGTGTAAAGCTAGTGAATTTTATATTAGTTACATTTCAGATAACCTGATGAGAACACTTGCAAATTCTAGAATGGCTTCCCTGTTAGAATTCAGGTTCTTGTCTCCCCACAGGAGGCACGGGGACTGTCCCTCTTCTGCTTGCACCTTTAAGAGTTTCAACATGGCAGAAGCAGCAGGCTTTCTATTAACTTGTCAGTCGCTAGCAATCAGGTGAGACCTCAGCACATTTAGACCCCAAAATGTGCTGTGTCAATGTAAACATCCTATGAACTAAATAGTAGACTAAACTAACGCAAATGTACAGGGGAAAAAATGTAATGTGGAATGATCCCATATGTGTAATATATATACCAATGTTCTGCTTCTCAAAAACCAAACAAAATACTTTAAGAACCATATCTTTCCCAAGTTAAATGTGATCTGACTTGTGATAATAAAATTCAGGGTTTTTCCCACTACCGTGTACTGGTTAAACTTGAACACAAGCATTTATGCTCATATGTCCCACAGATATTGAGCGTCTGTGGGTGGGTGTCTGTCGCCAGCATACACATTCACAGCAGCTGAATCTTTTGGTATCAGTGCTTCCCAGGGTCTTGCTTTTTTCTTCCTCTCAACTTTTTTTTTGCCTGTCAGTCTGATGAGGTGGGGAAAATGACGCTTGAACAGAAAACAAAACTGAAGGTAAAAACAATCAAGAAAGATTGATTGACCCCACGCTATCACCTAAGTGTCAATAACACTGAGCTACTGGGCTTCTGCACTGTTTTTCTCTGAACTTTTAGCCTTACATCAGTCAAACCCCAAGATAACAATCCATCATGGAGTCAAAGTGGCGAACAACTGTGTGGTCCTTTGATAAGGGAGAGTGTCACAATTTGTCTCCTTCCCTTCCCACAGATTGCCTCAAATAGGGTAAAGCTATGTAACAACAGCTGCAAAGAGCCCAAAGACATTCTTCAGTGTGGAAAAAATTCTTATGAAGTGCATACAGTAGCGATCTAAGCAACTATTAAGAAAGGAAAACAATGATCATTTATTAAATTTTCTTGTTGAGTTTATTTGCTCTGTTCTTTCTAAGCATCATATTTAACAAACTAATTGACCAAATAGGAAGATAGTGATTTTAAAAATATCCTGAGTGTCACAAAGCTGTCTCTATACAATCTGAGAAATATTTTAACTCTGTGGCTGGACTGAATTTCCATTTATGAATTGAATATAAGGACAGTTACAAATAATTTGTGTGTTTACATGTTATATAAAATATCTGTGCTATCCCCATTCTTTCTCTGAAATAATACCTCAGTATATCCAGTGAAGAATAATTAGTAGCCTAGAAAATGAGCATGTCAAACTAGGACCTTTTATGACTTAAATATGCTTCTAAGGTTCATTTAAGCATTTGAAGAACAATATGTTTAAAAAATGTTTAAGAGCAAACGTTGTTTTCCAAAGCCTGAAGTTGTTTTCCAAGAAGAAACAATTTCTTTTATATGTCTATCAACATTTGTTGATGTCATATCACTTTAAGGATTATGGTGATATAATCATTTTAGTGTATCCATTGACAAAAATGTAAGAACCAACCATATAAAAAACAGCGAGCATCAGGTTCACTGAGTTGGATGTGGTGTGGTACAATAAGGACCCTGAAAATGAGCCTGTCACTAGAGCAGGGCAGCAAAGAGTGAAGGAAGCCACTGACCAAGAAGGAAAGAACCCAACAAGCAAAGTTTGCTTTAATCAGCATCTGATTTGGGGTCAATACTGTTTGGTCCTGGTTGAGTACCTTTAGAATCAGGCTCCATGTTCTGTAAACATCAGGTAATAAAGAAGTGCCTTCCTTGTCTCAACAGTATATTGCCTTCTTTGGCCACAGGTAAAGTATTATATATTTCATGAAAATATTTTAAGTACTAAAAGAGATAACCATCTACAAAGTTATATAAGTGTTAACTACTTTCTTTTTTTAAATTTCCCTTTGCTTTGTGTTTTAATCCATAAACTAAGGCTACACTGCATTTCCTACACGGATACTTGCAGTATGTTTTTTAAAGTATCTAACTACTACCTTGTGCCTCATGGAGGTCAAGAGTTCTTCTCCATGGGTTTTTGAGGATTCAGTTTCTCCCCTGATGAGAAGAGTTGAGACTTGCTTGGGATTTTTGAACAAATGACCTGGAGACTCCACTTGTATGATGTTTCTTAGATGAGGCATTCAAATTGGCTGTTCTGTCCTAATCTGTTTTTAAATGTAATGAGTTCCCACATCTGAACTATGTGATACTGGAACCGCACTCAAAGACCAGTGAAGAAATGACATCACAAGGCCCCCAATGAAGACTCTAAAACTATGAGTATGGAGAAGCATGTGAAGTGATTTATTGGCAAATTGTCCCAAATTAAAGGTGTTTTCAACCTGAAAAACTGCTAGAAATATGCTTCTCATTTAGCAATACCTGCCCCTCACAAGACAAAAGCAAGAGTCTCTATTGGAGGTCTTTTACTCCAGGCATATAAACTCTTTGGAATCCCATATTCCAAATATTCTGGAAAAAGAAGTTACCAAGGCAATATAGAATTAGAGTCTGTGCTAGTTGGAATTTTAAATTTTCATTTATCTTTATTTTTAGTTCTATTTGTTTGAATCAAGCTAGCTCTAGACAACAGTCACACTCATTTTGAGGTGCTGGATCTTTCCAGAAGGTCGGTTGCATTTGGACTGCTGCTGTGCCATCAGGACAAAAGGCTTTGCTGTAACCAAAGAGAAAGCTGCTTGCTATTCCAACCAAATGAGGAAATTAAGTCTATATTCTGTATCGTAATAGTCCATAAGCATGTTCTAACAGCATTTTGCCTGCAAGCATTATTTATAAGAGTATTTCCAAACATGGATAACTATGAAACTTAGGTCAATTCAGCTACCAAGTAGAAAATCCTGATATTAAAAAAATGAGAAATACATTGTGATATCCAGCTCAGAAGCTTCCCCACTTAGTCTAAATGATTTCTTGCACATGTACACATACATAAGTCCACACAAATATGCATACACATCACATGTGTCCCAGTACTCAAATGTTTATAATGGCAACTCCTTGCATGTAAAATAGATGATAAAGCATGGCCGTTGTAGAAAGCAACTGAACAGTCATGTGTGGCCATCCAGTGAGGACATGTTAAGGATGACACAATTTGAGAAAACGGTGCCTTAAGATCAGATTCTATTTTTAGGCAGGGTTTTTTCTAGACACATGTTGAAAACCCATAAAGAGGATTTTAAAAGTGTTATTACTGGTAAGTTATTGCACCCTTAATGTGGACCGTACTGTGGCAATAGAAGCTCCGGGAAAACATCTTTTCTTTCTGTCTCTTTCTCTCTCTAAACTTTATTTATAGCCTTGCAAAAGACTAGCATTCACATAACCCGTCTGTGCAGGCATGCCAGAAGATTAATGATATCGCAGTGTTCTTGAGAACAAAACTGTGTCTACCACGGTGTTGAATAATCTCCCCTTTCACACATTAGAAGTGAGATGAGGCCTACTTTGGAGAGCAAGGACAATGTGTCACAAAGAGCTGCTTAGCTTACAGACACGCCTGTATTGCTATCCTGAGTCGCACAATGTTTTTGTGCATGTTATCTTAGGAAGAAGGAAGCTTTTATCACCATCTCTTTTTCCAAAATTTACATACAGCCTCAAAATCTGACTTTTTCAACATGTTTTTCACAATCTGTTGCTGGTAAGAATTGAAAATTCACAGAGAGTTGTACATCATGACCTCTTATCTCAGATCTTCTCAAATTTAGCTAGGATGACTAAATGCTATTTAAGGAGTTAATGTTTTAGGTGGAATTCTTTTTGTTAAAGTTTCCTTTTTTCCTGGTAATGATAATAACACAGCCCATATTTTCCTGAAACAGTCTTCACATCACGTAACATGACAAGAGATCACCGTACTACTGTATCTCCACTTAACCTCCTGGAAATTCATTGCTATTGTTACCCCTGGACTGGTATTATCTACTTTGAGAGATCTGCAGCTCACTGAAAATCACCCCTCTAAGAAGGAAACCACAATTCACATTCAGGTTTGGAGCCTTAAACCCACATTCTAAACAACTAAAACACTGCCTTCCAGGCTACACATTTAATATAAGCTCTTTCTCAACCCCATGCAACTAATTGATTGTTTATAATGCCTACACATTTTGTTATCAATGTTCACATATTTGTTATACAGAAGTATTAAAAATTTTAAATTATAAAAATGATCCAAACAGAGTTCTAACTTCTAAAATGTAGTAGGATCACAAAGGGAGGTTAAGACCATCAAGGCCCTGGTCATCTAGAGTTCTGCATAGCTGCATAGTGGAATGTATAATGTTTGAATAAACTTGCACTTGTCCAGTGTTAAAATCCACATGCACGTATACAGTTTGAGTAACAGTTCCCTTAAAGTATGTCATAGGAATGTTAATATTAATTTTGATATAGGTTTTTGTGATTCATACCACTTATATATGTGCACATATTTCACAATCCAGACATTTGGTTCTCTACTTAACAGTACATTTAGACTTTAGTGAGAAATAAAAAAAAAAAGTAGCATGTGGTAAGGTGCTTAGCAGGTAAAGGCTTTGCCATCCAAACCTAAGCTCAAATCCCAAAACCCATGAGGAAGAGAGAACCAACTCTTGAAAGTTGTCCCCTAACCATATCCTCCATATACACATTCTCATTCTATAAAGCAATAAAATATAATTGTAAAAATAAAGTGGGAACGTGATACTGTGTGGTAAATGAGTAATGTAGAGACCCCCTCAAACAACCATGGGAGTCAAAGGATGTGAGAA